TGGGTATAAGACAATTATCCTGAGAATACATACCCAGAGGTGAGGTTAGGCAGGCCCTGTCTGTAAGTCAGAAGTCAGTGAGCGTTCACTCTGATGCAAGGGAAACGTGATTAGAGGTGAGGCCAACCACTTAAAGGCCAGGCTGACTACTGCAGCCTGAGGTCCAAAAGACCTTATGTTTGTGAAAAGTATCCATAGTCAAGGCGGGGATTGCAGCTTTAGTAGTAGAACACTTGCTTGGCCTGGCTTGGGGAAGACTCTGGGTTCAATTCCAATACTTCAGGAAGAATCAGGTTGGGGTAGAATGGCCAGCAAATATGGAGCGTGTAAATATAGTTGAGGGAAGTTAGGACAGGAACTCAAGCAAAAGGAACCTGGAGAAGGAACCGAAGCAGAGACCATGGAGCGATGCTGCTTGCTGGCTGGCTTTCCTAGCTTGCTCAGCCTCCTTTCTCATAGAACCCAGGCCCACCTGCCTAAAAGATGGCAATGCCCGAAGTGGCCTGGGCCTTTCCACATCAATCAGTAATCAAAGCATTCCCACAGGTCAGCCTGATGGAGGCAATTCCATCAGACCTGCATAATATTAATCTTACCTTTTCAATTTTAGTTTTATTTTTGGTGTGTTTGATAATACTAAGGCTCAGAGAGATTAAATATCTTCTAGATATAATAACCCTTACTTTATTTGACACTTATGAGGCCGCACAGTTGGTGGGTATTCCAAAGCTGAGTTATGCTTTTTACCTATGCTGAGAACCCCTCAGACAGGTTGAAGGGTTTCGAAGGGTTAGAAGCAGGCCAGGCGCAGGCATGGTCATACCTGGCACTGGCTGTTTCTAGCATTGCCACAGGCCAGGAGCTTATTCTAAGAGGTACACAGACCTGCTTGGGCATCTTCACTGAGCCTTTCAGGCCTGTCATGAGGAGCCAGAAAGATAGTGTGGATTGGCAAGGGCCTGTGGCCACTACTCAGTTCAGGCTTATTCCCACCCTTCTCACCTTTGTGGAAAGAACCGAAGTCAGGAAAGGAAGCAGAGGGCTGAGAAGACAGAATGGCATGAGAGTGGGACAGGAAAGAGGCCTATCTACACTCTAGCAGCAGATGCTTGAGTCAAGTCAACCTCTTAGTCATCCACACAGGATCATCTGCCAACACCCACATCTAATGGGATCCATTGCTTCATTGAGCTGAACTGACAAATTATGCTTTGATATGAATTGTAAAAGAGCTTTGCTTCTTAACCTTTATTCTGTTTGATACTTCTGATATGCATTGTAAAATAATTTTCACTTATTTATTTATTTATTTATTTATTTATTTATTTATTTATTTATTTATTTTTCAAGACAGGGTTTCTCATAGCCATGGCTATGGCTGTCCTAGAACTAGCTCTGTAGGCCAGGCTAGCCTCCAACTCAGAGATATACCTGTCTCTACCTGCCGAATGCTGGGATGAAAAGCCACCACCACTGCCAGGAGAGAACTTTATTTATTTTTAATTTTAAATATTTTAGCATTTATTCCATTTGATTAATAGGCTCATTGTCCTCCCTCCCCTCCAACACCTCAATAGCAGGGATTAAAATCTGGGCCTCATGAATACTAGGCAAGTCCTTTCCCACTGTTATGCCCCTCCCCCATAAAAACTTTACTTTAAAACTATTTTTCATTTTTAAAAGATTTATTTATTTTATTTTGTGTGTATGAGTATCTGCTTGAATGTATGTGTGAGCACATGTGTGTGGTGCCTTTGGAGTTCAGAAGAGATCATCAGATACCCTGGAACTGAAATTATGGATGGTTGGGAGCCAACATGTATGTGCTGGGAACTGAATCCAGGTCCTCTACAAGAATAGCCAGTGCTCTCATCTGCTGAACTCTGAAATAATTAAAAAAAAAAATAAGCCAGGTATAGTGGTATACGCCTTTAATCCCAGCACTCTGGGAGGCAGAGGTAGTCAGATCTCTGTGAGTTTGAGGCCAGCCTAGTCTACAAAGTGAGTCTGCAACAGCCAGGCTACACAGAGAAACCCTGTCTCAAAATAATTGCCCCCCAACCAACGAAGCAACCAACTAACCAATCAACCAACCAACCAGCCAACAACAACAAAAAAGAATTGCATGGGCTGGAAAAATGTCTCCATCATTAAGAGCCTGTATTGATTTTACAGAAGACCTGAATTGAGTTTTTAGTGCCCATGTAACTTCAGCTCCAGGGGATCTAGTGCCCTCTTCTGGTGTCTAAAGGTACCTGCACTCATGTGCACATATCCACTCATAGAAAAACAGACACAGACAGACACAGACAGGCACACACACCACACACACACACACACACACACACACACACACACACACACACACAGAGTATTAAAAAATAAAAGATAATCTTAAAAAAAAAAAACAAATAGAATTGCAGGTCCAATACAAAATAGTTGCTTTACCATGCAGGCGGCCCTGGGTTTGAGGACAAGCATCACATAAAAAGAAGTTAATGAAATAAATCAAACCTGAGTTGAAGTCTAACACACAGATAGCTGGTTTGGTTTGTGTCGTTGTGTTCTGGTTTTGCCCATTCCTATGCTTCCTGTGCATGCAGTCCAACAGTGAGGGCTTGGGTCTGGCATCTTCCTTTCAGCACAGGTCAGTGAAATTCAGACCATCATCTATATTATGGCCTGAATCAGTGGCTCTGTTTTGTTGCTCATGGTCTAGAAATGCACCATGGGTCACATGTGCATTGTTCTTGACATGTAAAGCAGCTCCAGTTAGCTGTGATCAACCAGGCAAGAGGCTGTGTGGGCATACGTTTTCATTCCTGTTGGGCAGATAACCTGGGAGCAGAGTTGATGGGTCATGCAGTGGGTACATACTTAACCTTCTACAGAACTTCCACCGGGTTAATGTGTATCTCTGCAACTCCAGCACTTGAGAGGTTGAGGCAGAAAGATTGTGAGTTCGAGGCCAGCCTCAGCTACGTGGTGAGACCCTGTCTCAACAAGCCAGGGTAGCTGGGGCTTGGCAGTACCGAGGAACTTACTCCTATGTATAAGAAATGTGGCAGGATTCTGCTTCCCAATTAATTCAATATTACTAATTTTACACCTCTAAAAAGGGTACATCCTCCTCCTTAAACTAGTCTGGTGGTGGGGCTCCAGGTGGGGAATAGGAGGGAGAAGGACAGCACCCTCTCTCTATCTAACAACCATCTGTTGACAAAAGAGACCTGGACTTGAAGTTCAGCTCTTCAGTATCTGTGGGGTTTGGCACAGATTGGTTAATCGCTCTGATCCTTCATTGACTGAATGAGCAGAATTAGTTTTTTGTTTGTTTGTTTGTTTTTTTAAGTGTGTGAGTGTGTGTGTGTGGCAGGGTGGAACCAGAGAGATGGCTCAGTGGTTAAGAGCACTTGATTTTCTCTATGGGGACCTGGGTTTCATGCCCAGAACCCACCTGGTGACTTGGAACTGTCTGTAATTCCAGTGCCAGGGGATCTAGTGCCTTCTTCTGGCCTCCTCGGGTACCAGGCACCCACTTGGGCACACACACACATCCATGCAGGGGAAACACTCACGCAATTAAATAAATAAATAAATAAATAAATAAATAAATAAATAAATAAATAAATAAATAGATTAGGGCTGGTGAGATGGCGTGGTGCATAAAGATACTCACTGGTTTCCAAGCCTGATGGCCTGAGTTTGATTCCCAGGACTAAAATGTTGGGGGGGGGAAATCCTAACTAATTAGATGAGATTACATGGGATTACCACAGGGTTACATGGGAATATGCAAAGCCTATTAAGTATGTAGAAGTTCAGGAAACAGTTCAAGGAGGACACCGGCCTGCTCAGGAGATCTTGATCCTGTCCCTTCAGAAAGAATGGCAGATCCCAGCCATTGGGCAAGTGGGGCAGAAGGACTGTGAGTTTGAGCTCAGCCTTGGCTAAGCATTCAGTTGAGAGAGGCCTGAACTGCATAAGCAGACCGTGGTCCAGGAGAGCAATTAAAGCTGTTGCCCTTTGCCTCACAGCTGTCCTCCTGTTCAAGGCTCTCCTGGTTAAATATTGCTGTCTCCAGCACACCAGACCCAGCTAGGTTTTTATTTTTCAAAAGGTTTTGATACGAAATTGGGGCAAGTACCGCAAAGATGGAAAGGGGGGGCAAAGAGGGGAGTCAGGGGCTTATCCTCAGGGGACCACACCAGCTCAGCTACGCTGGTGGCGGCTGGCTCAGCACTGATGTGAGGCGAAGAGAAGCTCTCAAGTCTCAGGCCTTTTCCAGACCCGCACTCAGACCCGGCTGTGCCCATCGAGTGGATCTACAGAGACACTCCGGAGGTGCGCCCAGAGGTGGGCACCTCTCCACACGTTTTCTCCATAGCTATCTATCCAGTCCCCTCACCCAACACCTGGCTGCAAAGTTCACTTCTGCTGCAACCACCTTTGCAGCGCACACCCCTCCCATCTGGGTTTTCTGCTTCAGCAATCCAGAAATATTAATGTTCCGGGTACCAAAGATGAAAATGCATGTTGCAAGGGAGGTCCCGAGGTAGTCACAGATGGCTCGGGCAGTAAAGGTACTTGCTGCCAAGCCCAGGACCCACATGGTGGAAGTTGAGGACTGAGTCCCACAAGTTGTCCTCTGAACCTCACATGAACACCATACACATACACGTGCAAATCAATATCTTACAGAAATAAAGTGTAAAAAGAGAAACACTCGGGTTTGGGGGCTAAGAACGCAGAACAAACCCAAGGTGGTGACTGAGGGGAGAGGGGGAGGAGGTGTGTGAACAGCTAAGGCCTTTACAGGTCTTCTTTCCCCAACTCTGTTCCTTCTACACCAGGTTGGTTGGTCGGTCCTTGTCTCTGGGTCACCTCTCCAGCCGGTGCATCGCCCTGGCTCCTCCCTCCCCAAGCTGCTTTGGCGCAGCGTGCTGGCTGGGAGGCTGCATCTAGGCTCCGCCTAGGTCACGGGTTACAACTGACTGCGAGTAGCAGAAGGTACTCCGTGCCTCTCGCGGCGACCTCGGGCTGTTTGGTGGTGTCCTAGTCTGGTGCGTGACTCCGCCCCCGACCCCGCGAGTGGACCGTCTTCGGCAGCCGCGCGCTCGCTCGCGCGCGCGCGCGCACACCCAACCCGTCAGTCCTCGCTTGTCACCAGCCCGGTGTGTCCAGGGAGCCCATGGAGCCGGCCCGCAGCGCGCCCCTGGGGGACAGCTCTGCCGAGGCGCTGCTGAGGGATCTGGAGCGCCAGGTGCAGGATGTGGTGCGGGCGAGCTCGTGGTGGGAGCGCCACGGGGTGGACTGCGCCATCCTTGCTCTCAGCCTGCTCGCCGTGCCAGCGGGTGAGACAGAAGCACCGGCTGCGGATGGGGGTGGCGCGCGCGCTGCCGGTGGCTGGTGCAGGCTGGAAGGGAACCTCAGGACTCCAGGATCCTGGATTCCGCCTCGATCTCCAAAGTCTAGTTGGGGGTGTCCGCCCTATGTCCCGCTGGAGGTGGGAGAAAGTCCGATGCTTGAAAGTTGTGGGGGGAAAAGTTGCGCAAGGAGTCTTGGATGCATGGGGAACGGGATGGTGGCGATCTTTTGTGTCCCAAATCCTACAGAGAGAGCCAATCCGTCCGTCTCAGGCCCTGGAGGAACCTGCCCACCACAGGCCCAGAGCTGGTCCTCTCTGCTTGGGATTTGGGGAAGTGTCTGTAGGTGGATCTGGACCTATATTTTCAAAAGACAATGAAAGATCCTAATCCCTGATCCTTCCTCTTTGCAGGGTTCCTGTGCCTACGCTTCCATAATATCCTGGCTTTTGCCACAGGCATCACGATCTTGGGTGTGTGTCATTACACACTCACAGTCAAGGGCAGCCACCTGGCCGCTCACAGTGCTCTCACAGAGTCCAGACGCTGGAGCAAGATCTTGATGATTTTCTTTATGGAGGTGAGCCTGGCAGAGGTGGGGCAGTTACTGGGCATCACTGTGTGTCCATTCACAAGGGCAGGCGGCTGCTGCTGGGGGTAGGTAGTTCCCACTGTGCAGTACAGTTTGCCTGTATGTCCTCCAAGTCCTTGAGAAAAAGTTGCCATGAGTGAGTGGTCCTGCACCCTCGTCTTTGTTGGTGGAGCGGCAGAAATATTTCTCACCTCACATTCCCTCTCCTGGTCTCCTTTAGTTACCCTCCTACCTCTCTGTAGCACTAGGCCAAAGGCAGGCAGAGTTTCTTCTTCTGGGATGCCTGCAACTGTCCAGTCTTGCTCCAGGGTTGTGTCAGCTCATAGAAGCCCCTGGGTTCTGCCACCAGAGCTGTGGGCAGGGCAGAAGCAGTTTTGTCAGTCACACTCTCCAAGTAACCTAGGTCAGGGAGACACTGCCATTCTCCGACCTCAGGGCCTAGCTCCGGCTGCTCTCTAGGACGGGTTTCCACTTGTGCAGGAATGCGGGTCAGCCCCAATTAGCTGGCATGGATGGGGTAACATCTGTGTAGCTTTTGTGGCCTTGTGCCTTGATTGGAGTCCCAGGCTCGGTATTTGCCTTGACCTTGAGGAAGGTGGTTATATATCTGGGGTTAGTTTCTTCGTGGACTCCACAAGCATGGAACACTGCCTCCTCGTTAACCCTGCGAGGGCATTGGATGAGACAGTGCATACTTTCCAGGTGCAGGGGCAGCGTGGGCTCTCTTGACGATGTTTGTGTTGTTGCTGTGGGTGCTTGTTAGCTGAGAGGCTGCGAGCCTAGCAGGGCTATTGCAGGTGTTGGCGTCCGGTTATCTGGCACAAAGGACAGACTCTGGAGGCCTGTGAACCTCAGCGGGTGCGCAGGACCCTTCCTGGATCCCCGGCTGTCACTTCCAATCCTGCTGTCTTCTCCCTTTCATCCCTCTCTTGTCTTCTTGACCCCTGCAGACACCATCACGTAGAGCATCTGGTCTTAGGCCCTGGGTTCCTTAGTGCGTTCTCCAGAGCGGGCAGCTGCAGGCATCAGCTGAGTACCTCTGGTTTTCTTGGGTAATCCAGCATTTGACAGCATTATCTTGGGGCCTAGTGGGTCTGAGCTGGTGTGGGACCAGGCTCTCTCTGATCCAGTGGCTCCGGAGAGCTGGAACAGACAGGATAGAATAGGGCTACCACTCTAGGCTGTACTCCGAATCACGTACCCCCTACCCACACCAGATGAGTTTTCTCTGAAGATGCCTTTCCGGCCTACCTGAGGGAGTCCCTACCCTGCCTTACCCAGCAAGCATTCGCTATCCTGCTGACATCACACAGGCCGATAGGCACACCCTTGGATATGCCAGGGAAGGATGTCATGCTAGAATGGCTACCAGAAGGCTGGGGACAAAGTAGAATGAGCAGGTCACATGGTTCAAGTCCTGAATTGGAGAAGGATTAACCTCTAAAAGGCCTTTAGAATGTCACGGCCAAGGATGCTCCCCTGAGTAGGACGGGAGCCAGCCATGCCAGCCACAAAGCTCTTTATTCTGTCTCCTCCTTAAACCCTCCTTGTAAACTCAGCTTTGGGAGGGGGTGGAGTCACAGCTGATCCACTAGAAATCCCTGCACCGCTTGCTGTGCCCTTTGTGGGGGATGTCACACAGGAGAATGCCTGTCACCACCCACAGGTCCCCTGTGGCACACACCATAGAGAACACAATGCCTTATCATGATCCTCATATGCTCCCTGCTGGCCTGAGGCTGTGCCCTCTGGCCCTTCTCTTACATCTCCCTGCTTGCTCACATCCAGGATTCTTGTCTGAATAAAAGCAGCCATGATAGATATTTTTTTCTTTCTTGGTGCTAGGGACTGAAAGCAGGCTCTTGTGCATGGCAAATGCCCGCTCCGTCTTTGGGCTGTACCCCAGCCCTTAACTATGGTTCTCTCTCTCTTTACCTAAATTTTTATTTAGAGAACCAGCGCAGATATTCAGTACAAAATACACTGCTAAATACAAGCTTTCAATTCGTATAATAATTGCAGATTCACAGAACATCTCTCGGTAGGGCAAAGAAGTGCAGTGCATTGGATCCATCACTCTGTTTCCTCTAAGCAATTGTATTTATGTGTCACTCAGTACCAAAACCAAGGGACCCAGTGTTGGCACGTGTGTGTGTTTAGTTCTGTGCCTTGTCATCACGTGTGTAGATTCAAGATGCACAGTCCCTACGAGTGACGTGAGCAGGCTGTGGGGAGGAATGTTTGTCATGCTCTCCAGAATTCCATAAAAGACCGCCCACCTGTAGGCCCAGCCTCAGAGAGCAGAGACAGGGTAACCCCCGAGCGAGCGAGCTATGAAGACTAGCTGTATTGGCCAGCCCTGCCTCAAAGAACAAGGTGGAAGAGCCTTGCGGATGTTTCCTGACGTCAGCTTCAGGGTGTCCGTTTGCATACTTACCCATGTACACACATCTACATGCATACATATGCATGCACACCACACACGCGCACATGAAAAATGGGTGAGGAAGTGACCTAGTCTTTCATATCAGTGGTGTAGAGCTGAGAAACCCTGGAGGACTTTTAGCAGCTGCTGAGGTGTATGGAAGCTGCTAGACTCTCACAGGCCCAGGTGAGGGGGGGGGCAGGAAGGCCCATGTGCCAAGCAAAGGGACTGTACTTTGCCTTGTAGCCAAACAGACTTAGTTTTAAAAGCTAATCTATTTTGTGACTAGGTGTCGGTTTGCCATGAGACAGAGCTTAAAACATCCATGGGTAGGGACAGGCAGTGGTGGCACACACCTTTCACCCCAGCACTCGAGGGGCAGAGGCAGGCGGATCTCTGTGAGTTCCAGGCCAGCCTGGTCTACAGGGTGAGTTCCCAGGACAGCCAGAGCTATATAGTAAGATTTTGCCTCAAAAACAGTCTAGCGGTAAATTTTCCTCCTGGGGACATCACCCAAGGTATTAGTCTCTTCCATGCCCTTCTCCAATCATTCCCTCTATGTTTTATTTTCTTCTATTAAACAGGAGCTGGGGCTGTAGTGTGCTTGGCAGAGTACTTGCCCAAGTCAGAGCCTCAGTGCCACACAAAGTCAGGCCTGGTGGTTTTTACCTGTAACATAGCACTGAGGATGATCAGGAGTTCAAGGTTATCCTCAGTTACACAGGGAGTTTGAGACCAGCTCTGGACTAAAGACCTTGACTCAAAAGAAAAACATACATAGCAGGATTAAAAAGCAAGCATAAACCGGATGGTGGTGACACACGTTTTTAATCTTAGCACTCAAGAGGCAAAGGAGGCCAGCCTGGTCTACAGAGTGAGTTTCAGTACAGTCAGGGCTACACAGAGAAACCCTGTCTTGAAAAATCAAATGAAAACAAAACAAAACAAAGAAACAAGTATAGAATTACATCACGATCTAAACTGGGTTAAAACTAGGTCACTCTGCTAATTTGATTTGTGGTAGATGAAGCAGGAAACTGGCTGGCGGCCGTTGATAGAGAGGCCTGGAGGAAGACAGGCGGGATGGAAGGACCAGGCTGGGCTGCAGGGAAGGAGGCGTTCAGGAAGATGTTGTCTGGGTGCCAACCATGCAAGAGGGGAGGAGTGGAGGACTGAGAAGACCCAAAGGCAAAATCTAGGGCTCCAGGTGGAAGGGCAGGCCACAGTGGGGCCTCTCCTGAAATGGGCCAGGACTGGGCGCAGCAGTACAGGCAGTCCTAGAAAGAAGGATGGTGGAGACAAGTGGTGGTGGCACACGCCTTTAATCCCAGCACTCAGGGAGGCAGATGGATCTCTGGGTTTTAAGGCCAGCCTGGTCTACAGAGCAAGTGCCAGAACAGCCAGGCACTTTTGAGACTACACCTGTCTCAAAAAACTGAAAACAATAAAGAAGGAAAGAAGGGGGGGGTGGTCGTTGTCCCTCAGCAGGGAGCCTGCAGGCTACAGGTGCCCAGCTCCTCTTTCGAAACCTGAAAACCCTCTGGCTGCTTCCCAGCAAACAGTCTCTTACAGCCTTGCAGTCTCTCAGTAGTGGGGCCTTAGCAGGAGGTTTGTCAGTCAAAACACTCAGATAAATTTGGGCTTCAGATAGGCCACCAGTATTTTCTTTTAAATAAATATACCCCAAATATGACATGGGTGTCACTGCCATCTGGGTTCTCACATGCTGTCCTGTTCAGGGAAATGCAAGTGCCTGAGTGAGAGTCCTCAGGGTGCTAGATGTGAAGAGAGGCTTAGCCACTCAGAATAAAGAGGGGGGCAATGGTGAGGGTCACATAAGAGAACCCTTTGAGTTTTGTCCTAAAAGCAGCAGGCCTGCTTGGGCCAGAACGAACCATACAAACCATACAATAGGGTTCTGTGTTGTTCAGAACCATCCCTGGGTTTCCCAGAGGCCTAGCATGGAGCTCCCGACACCCTCGGGTGCTGCAGGATGCTTAAACGAACAAACAACTGCATGAAAAAATAAAAGAATGAAAGTTTTGAGGGCCCTGGAGCTTAAACGAAGAACTGTCAGGAAGAATCCGTACCCACTCATGACCACTCTCAGCCTAGCTTGGGTGTTCAGGGTGTGAATTCTGTAGAGATGGGGTGCTCTTGGGTCTTCCTGAAGGCAGCCACCACAGAGGTTGGTGAGTGGTCTTTAGAAGTCACCCCGACCTTGCGGCTTCTGGGTCGGGATGAGAAAACCTCTTGGGTAAGACTTGTAAGTGGTCCTTTACATCTGGGCGTGGTGGCATGTATCTGCAATCACAGCACTCAGGAGGCCAAGGCAGGAAGACTGAAAGTTCCAGGCCAGCCTGGGCTAAATAGTCAGACTCTGTCTCAGACAGTGACAACAAATAAGGCAGTTACAGATGGAAAAGAACCCATTTTACAAGGAATGCAGCAATATGCGCTCATATTTGCTGCTCTTGGGTGGATGAGTAACGGGCGTATAAAACATACTACCATTCACCTTCCTCTTCTAGCCTCCAAATCACCCCCTTCTCTCTCTCAGGAGACTTCTTCTAAATGGACTGAGGGGCCTGGCTGGGGTTAAGAGCTCTTGGTGCTCTTGCAGAGTTCAGTTCCCAGCACCCAGGTCGGGCAGCTTACAGCCATCTTGTAACTTCAGCTCCAGGGGATCTGATGCCCGATTCTGGCTTTGGTGGGCACTTGGGCATATGTGCATACTCACAGATGGACACACCCACAAACATGCACATAGAAATCTAGTGATGAAATAGCATCAGATCAGTTTTTATTCATAGAAAAAATTTATTCATAGGGCAAAATCACTCATTGGCTCTGCAAGTGGGTACCAAGTCACAAGTCACAGCTGAGGGTCTGGGGTGTGCCTGGGACTTTGCTGAGAAGCCTCCGGGTACCCAAGGGTACCCATCTCTAAACACACAGTCCTGGTCAGGCTCCAGGCTGGTTCTGGCACTGACTCTCTTTTCTTAGGATTTTATTGCTGTGAAGAAACACCATGGCCATGGCAACTCTTATAAAGGAAAACATTTACTTGGCTTAACAGTTTCAGAGGTTTAGTCCGTTGTCATCATGGTTAGAAGCATGGCAGCATGCAAGAAGACATAATGCTGGAGAAGGAGCTGAGGGTTCTAGATCTTGACCTGCAGGCAGCATGAGGAGACTGTGTGTACACTGGACGGAGCTGGAACATGTAACAGACCCCAACACCTGCCCACACAGGAACACACTTCCTCCAGCAAGGCCACACCTCCTAATAGTGCTGCTCCCTATGGGCCCGGCAAGCATTCAGACACATCAGTCCATGTGGGTCCAAATCTATTGACACCCCTACACTCTCCAAGAACAGTTACTACTGGTCTGCAGAGAGAGAGAGAGGGAGCGGTGCCACAGAGATGGCTCAGAAAGTAAAGGCATTCACTGTACAATCCCAGTGTCCTGAGTTTGATCTCCAGAACCCCACCTGAAGGTGGAAGGAGAGAACCAAGTCCACAAAATTGTCCTTTGACTTCCATGCATGCATCATGGCACTCGTGGGCCCGCACATCCCCCCTTCCCCCCACTAATTAATTAGTAAAACAAATAAAAGGAATTAGCTTCTTCCATTACGTGGGACACCCTTGGGGTGTGAATCATACACTGGTGTGGCCAGTGGACAAGGCAGGCCTGACTCTGAGACCTGGTGTTCAGGGCATGTCCCAGCAGCCTACCCACCTCATAGCAGCTGCTATTGGAAAGCTTCCCCTCCTCCCGGAAACAGGAAAGCATCTTCACTAAAATCAGCAAAATCTTCTGGCCTGGATAAAACACTTGAAGCCTTACATCTGCACGTATTTGCATAAGAAACAGCCTAGCACCTCTTTTGCATTCTGAATGATCACTTTCCTTGGAGGAGAGAGTGGCTGCACTTGGTGACTGGATTTGGAGATTCCCATTGTGGGCCCACGTCAAAAAGAGTCACCCTAGGGAGACATTGGCTCAGTGCAGACTGGTGCTCAATGTCCCTCCGGCCTGCATTGTGGGCTCTTCAGGAAACGACCTCCATGCATCCTCAAACCACCCTCCAATCCTGGGAACCTTTCCTTGCTGCTCTGCTCTGGCTGCAAAGCGGTGTCACGAAGGCACAGCTGTTTCCCAGGCATGTCCACCCAGTGGTGGCAGGCTCCAGCTTCACCTTCACTGACAGCCTCTGAGGTTTGAGAGGTTACCTGGTCGATGGCCAGTGGGAGAGGGACAATCCAGAGACCCGACCCCCTTGTCCCTAAAGGCTTTGCAGAGCCACACCAAGTGGATGGCAGTGTGTTGATTGGCTGTGGGTGCAGAGGAGGAGGGTGCAGGGGTGATAGGGTTTGGGAAGGGTGGAAGTGTCCTTGAGGCTCCTTGGGTTTGGCTTCTTTCGGCTGTGCCCAGGGGACTCACTGCCCTTTTGGCTTCCTCTCTAGGTATGCACGGCCTTTCCTGCAGAGTTTGCTAAGTTCAATCACGTCAACCTGCACCACGGTTACACCAACGTGTTGGGTCTGGGAGACTCGAGCACGTGGAGGTTGCCTTTCCTCAACCGCTATATCTACATGCTCCTTGGACCACTTTTAATCCCCATCATAACTCCGCTGGTAGCTCTTGGTGAGTACTGGGTTTGAGTGTCCCAAAAAGACCTGTGTCACCCCTCCTTCCTTCCTGGCAGCATGGACCCTGCTTGTGAAGACAGCCTGGGAGCCAGGAGTCAAGACTGTCAAAGGCAGTCAAACAGGGTGGACAGAACCCCACTCACTGGGTGGTGACTGTGGGCAGGTAATCGGACCTGCCTGCCTCAGGTTCTTCACTTGTTCAAGGATAGTGTGAAGCTATAAGGAGACCACAGATGTAAGAGAGCTTTTATGAGGGCCGGGGCGATGGCTTAGAGGTTAAGAGGGCCTCCTGCTCTCCCAGAGGCCCAGACTTCAAGTCCCAGCATCCATGCTGCGCTGCCCACAATCCCATCTAACTTTCAGCTTCAGGGGAATCAATCATTCCTCAGGCTTCCACTTACACCCACACACTACACATAATTGTAACAGGATCTTAGAGAGAATTTGAGGAGGGACCAGTTTGTACATACCCCACACAAACCTGCGGGCTATAATCATTGCTATGGAGCAGACCTTGACTTTGGCCAGCTTGCTTGGAATTTACACTTCCTCATCCATTCAAAAGACACTTTTTTTTTTCTTCATGTTTCTAGGGTTCAACGAGAGCACCCCTCTATCTTAACACCCCTGGTTACCAGGGAGCCAGCTCACGATGGTTCCCCCTTCCATTATTTCTTGCCCCTCTAACAGAGCATTTGAGGAAGGAGAAGCTGAGGACTGCACTTCGGACACTGGCCTTCATGTCCCTGGGCCTGTATTCTCAGTATTGGCTGTTTCTGAGCGTGTCAGGCTTCCAGAGCCCTGGTTTGGCACTGGCCTGCATGCTGCTCACCAGATCCCTGCTGGCGCACCCCTATCTCCACGTCAACATCTTCCAGGTTAGCCCCTGAAGAGGGGTACTTACAGGGTTCCGACAGCAGGCTAGACCCAAGGTTTAGGAGAGAGAGGTCATCATCAAAGGAGGCTTTCCCTGGTTCCTGCCCCTCCCCTGTCACTGTGGGTCACCACAGGAAGTTGCAGTTTTAGTGAGGCCTTTGCCTGGTCCTGGAGAGACCCTTCCTGCTTTATCCTCCATTCTAAACCCTACCCATTCAAGGTCAGGTTTGTGCATCCTCCTTACTGTTTCATTCAGTTAGTCTATACAAGTACCTTCTATAGGAGGCCACTCCCAGAGTCTAGGGTATTGGAGGTGAATACGTACTTCAGCTGAATCAAGACAAGTTGATGGGACACCATAAGAGGATGAAGATATTAGCTGTGGCTGTGTTGAATGCCGGGGGTTGTTCTGAGAGATCTAACGGGGGTCTTTACCCATAGGGGAGCTGGGAGGTCTCCCCGTAGAAATGGTGCCAGAGTTGAATGCTGAACTCCTGGCTCTTCTCAAAGGCCCTCCATCTCCTGCCCTGCCCTTGGCCTGCCTTGTGTCATTGGTTGGACACTCATTTTGCTCTACATGAGTCTGACACACAGGTAAAAGCATGGCACCAGTGTGAGGCATACAGGGCCACAGGAGCAAGCAGTGGGAGTCACGGACATTTGAATACCAGGGCTCTGGAAAGAAATGCATAAGCAAAGCCCTCTATTGTCCAGATGGAGAGAGGTCCAAGTGTGGGGAAGACTCAGCCCATTGAAGGCTGAGTTAGCACTGGAGCTGGGCTAGAGCTCCAGTCTTTTACACCCCTAGGGTCCCACGGGCCCCTATATGCTTGAAGACACACCAGCGGGGTGTGACCCGTATGTCTATCACAGCACATCGGATTGCCCATGTTCTCCCCGGACAAGAAGCCCAGGCGTATTCACATGATGAGCCTGGGGGTGCTGAACCTGCCACGGCAGCCGGTGCTGGACTGGGCCTTCGGCCACTCACTCATCAGCTGCCATGTGGAGCACCACCTTTTCCCTCAGCTCTCTGACCACATGTGCCTGAAGGTAGCCAACGGTTGGGCAGGGTGGTGGGGAGTGGGAGCCCCCAGGTACATCTGAACCCGTCCCCTCGAAGGTCACCCAGGAAGGGCAGCCTGGAGCACAAATGACAATGTGGGTTTTAGATCAGAGTCACCTGGGTTCACCAAGCCTCGGTTTCCCTGTCTGTAAAATGGGAGGGGACAGGGTTCACCTTGGTGGCTTGAAATGTTTGACCGGAAGACACTTAACAGAGGGAGGGTTGTTCATCCCTTGGGCTGAGGAGGATGGGCATTCAGTCAGGAGTCTTGCAAGGATTGAGGGGGAGAGGCCATTCCTCTCCTCTGGGGTTGGGTTGAAAGACACAGAAGGTCTCCCAACACCTCAGCCCCTTACTTTCCCACGGACGGGATGGCTAGGGGCTGGACAAAGGAGAGCTCCTGAGGTGAGCAGGCCCGTGACTCAGAGGGCTCTTCTGTGACTCTTTTTCAGGTGAAGCCCTTGGTTTCAAAGTTTCTTCATGACAAGCAGCTGCCCTATAACGAGGACTCATACCTGGCTCGATTCCAGCTGTTCCTTAACTGCTATGAGGAGTTCATGGTGCTCACCCCGCCCATCACGGAGCTGGTGGGACTGCAGTGAAGGCTGGGGCCCTCCTGTGGCCAGTCCTGGCCCTCCGAACTGATGGCCCTGGGGGGATGGGTGGAGTTGGAACGTGGTGGTCTCAGGTGGATAGGGAAGTAGAGCAGGTTGTGCCTGATGTGCTGGGGGTCTCCTGCTGTTTGCTTCTCTGGGATTGAGTGTGGGCTAGGGTGCTGGGAGATAGGATAAAAGCTTCCCTAGCTGCATCGGGCTGTGCACCCCATTCACCTAGGCCTCAGGTGACTCCATCTCAGGTCCCTCTCTCTGCTGCATCTGAGCCAGGGTAGGGAGAAGGGGGCTGGTGACAGATGAGGTGGGATCCTAGTCCAGGTGGAGTGGGTACAGAAAAAGGACCAGCCTCCTGGTGCCTATGAGCCGCACGCCTCTTATGCTGCTGCTTCCTTCTGTACCTTCTGAGTCACAGTGCCCCAGGACCCTCTCCCTGCTGCCAACAGAGTGAGGTCATTGATTTTTTACTCTTATTTTTTAAGCAGACACCCCTAGCTCTTCAACTCAAGGAGCCTGTGCCACACTGGGCTCAGCAGCCCCAGGACCCATAGGATCAGTGAGATAAAAGCAAGTGTATTTCCAGAGAGGTACCCCAGAAGGGAGCAAATGCAGGCACAAAACTGGAGAAAGCTTTGCATGTGACCTTGGAGAGCTCTAGCCATCTCTGCTTTGTTCCATGTTTGGAAGGATCCAGACTGGGAGGCGACAGAGGCTGGAGGAGGTGAACTGGAACTGGGCCGGGAGGGCAGTTCCAGGGCTAAAAAATGGGGGGATGGGCGGGATGAGCCAGGAGAGTTGAAGATGAGGCTTGGCTGGGTGGGAACATGAGGGAAGCACTGATGCCAAACCTAGGAGGAAGCCCAGCTGGGGGACAACACTGTGATACAACCGAGGCAACCGAGAGAGGCTGGGGGCCCGCCTCAGCCAGGGGATGGAGCAGAGGTTCCCAGTTGCACCCAAGTGGAGACTGAGGGAGGGGCAGATGCGGTTAGACCTGCACCAGGCCAGGACAGTTAGTTCATAACCTAGCCTCTCACCTCAGCCCTACTGACATTTTATTTGGCTGCTTCTTGGCAGGCTGGGATGACCACTGACTAGACCGTGATAATCAAAAGTGTCTCCTGATATAGCCAATTGTCTTCCAAGTGGGAAAATAACTGTCCTTGATTGAAAGCATACAAGCCATTCTTTGAGCGCCTAATTGCTTTTTCAGTTAGATCACTGGCTGGAAGGGTGTACTGCCCCTTTCAGCCAAATGCTAGCAGAAGGGAACCCATGGGATGGGCAGGCAACTGGGAAGACTGGCCTTTTGGGGTCGGGATGTGCTATCTTCACCTGGCCCTCCCCTCCAGCTGTGGTACTTGGGTGGCCTTTCCCTTGGGCTCCTTCTGGTCATGGCCTGACTTGGCAGTGGCTTCTGGCTGCTGTTGACCCCTGGGTGCTTGCTTCTCTGCCTCCCCAGCTCTGCTCAGAGTTCCTCTTCACATGCTCTTAGCTCATTCCTTTTGAGTGTGTCTGTCCCCTGCTGGGAGGTTCACTCCACAGCCATTTTGGATCCAAGCCACCCTCTTGGAATGGGGTGGATTTGGCAGTTGCCACCACCTCCTGCTTTATATGTTGTCGCTGCTCATTTGAAATGCATTAGCACTTCATAAGGGGCCTTAAGGTCAGAGAGTGCGATTTATCGAACTGCAAATTCTCCCTATCAAAAATGCAATGTCAGAAAAGGGTCCTGGCAGCATACCGTAAGCTAATGATTAAAACTATCCAAATATACCACCAATGACTCACTGTTATTGATCTCGGCCAGAAAGCGGTTCATTCCAGGGCAGCAGCTAGAGGCCTTCATATCAGACCTGACTGTTCATACATGTGCACACCAGGGCTGGTCACTTGGTTTCTCTAAAATGTGATCATCTGTTTGTCTAAGGATGTGGGCAGGAGAACAGAACTCAGAGAAGGCATTAGGAGCACACAAAGTACTTCAGGGCTCTGTGGAGCCCTGAGGTCTAACGTAGAACCACAAAAGGGAGCAGCAACACTGTTGGCCATGATCATAGCCAATGTTTGCTTACTACAAATGCGGATTTCTTTTGTTTTTTTTGAGACAAGAGTCTCACTATATAGCTCTGGTGTGTCTGGAACTCACTAGGTTGGTGGCTGGCCTTGAACTCAGAGATCCACTTACTTTTACCTCAGTGGCCCTCAACCTACTTAATGCTGAGACCCCTTAATACAGTTCCTCATGTTGTGGTGACCCCCAACCATAAAATTGTTTTCATTGTTATCACATAACTGTAATTTTGCTACTGTTATGAGCCCTAATGCGAATATCTTATATGTGGATATCTTGATATGTGACCCATGTAAAAGGGTCATTCGAACCCCCCAAAGGGCCCTGACCTAGAGGCTGAGAACCACTGCTCTTCTTCCACTTCCAAAGTGGGATTAAAGGCACCCCACCAGGCCAGGATTTTAATCCAATGGCATCTAATTTTGATCTTTAGAAGTCAGAATTATTTTTTGCTTGTGTTATAGAGAAAAAAAAGAAGTTGAGTTTAAACCTCTCCCTATCATGGCTGTGAAATTCAGACCAGGGATTTGAATTCAGCGACTCCGGATTGCATGCTGTTGACCCTCAGAGCCGAGGCTTCTGGCTGGGAAGCTCTGTAGGACTTTGCGTGTCGGAGCCTGAATTTCTATCCTTTTCTTCTACATGACAGGACAATTGGTGAATTTATCATTAAGGTTTCTTTTTTCTCAGACAGGGTTTCTCTGTGTAGCTCTGGCTTTCCTGAAACTCATTCTGTAGACCAGCTGGCCTTGAATTCAGAGATCCACCTGTCTCTGCTTCCTGAGTGCTAGGACTAAAGGTGTGTATCACTGTACCCAGCAAAGATAAATGCTTTAGGGACTGGGGTTGAGGCTCGGTTGGTAGAGTGCTTGCCTAGCAGTCAATAGACCCTGGAGTCACTGCAAAGACAGGGCTAGTGGCACATGCCAGTAATTCCCAGCCGCCAGTGGTTGCTGACACAAGACGAAACCAGTGAAAATCATAGCACAGAAGGGTTTCTACTGCTGTGAAGAGACACTATGACCACAGAAACTTTTAGAAAGGAGAACATTTGGGCTCAGAGGTTAAGAGGTTAAGAGGACTGGCTGCTCTTCCAAAGGTCCTGAGTTCAATTCCCAGCAACCACGTGGTGGCTCACAACCACCTGTAATGAGATCTGGTGCCCTCCTCTGCCCTGCAGGCATACATGCAGGCAGAACACTGTGTACACAATTAATAAGTACATGTTAAAAAAAAAAAAAAGAAAAAGAAAGGAGAACATTTAATTGGAGCTGGCTTAAAGATCAGAGAGTCCATTATCATCTTGGCAGGAAGCATGGTGGCATACAGGCAGACGTGGTGATGGAGAGGGGCTGAGAGCTTTACATCTAAATCCTCAGGCAGCAGGAAGTGATACTGGGCCTGACTTGAGCATCTGAAACCTCAAAGTCTGCCTCCAGTGACACACTCCCTCCAACAGAGCCACACCTACTAACAGTGCCACTCCCTATGAGCCAATTCCAGCCATTTTCAGTCACAAGCCCCTAGGCTCACTGAGGTTCTACTGACGGCAGATGTTTTCTAGGGGGGAGGGGTATGTGTGAGTCAGTTTTCTTTAAGGTGTGGCCCCTGAGAGGTCCACCATGCCATGAGTGTATGGGCAACACAAACTACAGTCGGTGGATTATTTAAAAAAAAAAAAAAAAAAGACATGAACTTTCAGTTGCAGGGTGGATCTAGGAGAGATTAGGGGAGAACTAGGAAGTGAATGTGACCAAAATACATTGTATAAAATTCTCAAAAAAGTAATATATATATTAAAAAGTATATATATATAATATATATTTATATATATAAAAAGTAATATATATATTAAAAAGAAACAAACATGGTAGTGTACTAATAAAACTTTACCCATACTATGTTACCATTTAAGATGGTTTAGTGGTTGAGAGCACTTGCTGAACTTGCAGATGATCAGAGTTCAGTTCCCTGAACCTATGAGAGATGGCCCAAACTGCCATCTCTCCAGCTCCAGTGGTCCCAAAGCCTTCTGACTGCTAAGGCACCAGCACTTATTAGCACGCACACACAAAAAAACACACACACACAGGCACACACACATATATGCCACATACGCATAGGCACACATATAAATGATATATTATATATAATACATATAAATTATATACATAAATGTTAGATGGTGGTGGCATATGCTTTTCATCCCAGCACTCACTTGGGAGGCAGAGGCATGTGGGTCTCTATGAGTTTGATGGCAGCCTGGTCTACAGAGTGAGTTCCAAGAGAGCCAAGGCTACATAGAGAAACCCTGTCTCAAAATATAAAATAAAACACAACAACATATATGTAAATAAATAATTGCTGGAGAGATGGCTCAGTGGTTAAGATTACACACTGCTCTTCCAAAAGTTCCGAGTTCAATTCCCAGCACCCACATGGCAGGTCACGACTGTCTAATGCCATCTTCTGGTGTGCAGATGTACATGCAAAGTACTCACATACATAAAATACATTAATAAATTATTTTTGTGGGTCACTAAATAGGCCTGTGGACAGCATCTGGCTTTCCTACTAGTCTTATGGGACAGGCTTAAAACACAGTGACATACCAGAGGGTAATATTTACCTCTAAATAAGAAAGTGGAGGAGCCAGGTGGTGGCACACGTCTTTAATCCCAGTACTCAGGAGGCAGAGGCAGGCGGATATTTGATTTCAAAGGCAGCCTAGTCTACCGAGGAGTTCCAGAACAGCCAGGGCTACACAGAGAAACAATGTCTTGAAAAACCGAAAGAAAGGAAGGAAAGAAAGAAGGAAGGAAGAAAGGAAAGAACAGAGCGGAGGACTCCTGGGGTACTCACTGTACTCTGATCCTGGGTGTCGGTCACATTATTATATTCTGTGATCTCACAACCCATCGAGCTATGATTATAATGTGTGCACTTTTCTGTATGTTAAACTTCAATTAAAAATAATCTTTTTTTTCCTTCATTGTTGTTGTCATCGCTGTTTTCTAGATGGTTTCTCTGTGTAGCCCTGGCTGTCCTCACTCTGTACATCAACCTGGCCTCAAACTAGAGATCTGCTGGGATTAAAGATGTGTGCCATCACAGCCTGGCTAAAAAAAATCCTAAAATAGTGTAAAAAGTATGAAATATAAAACTGGGTTATTCAACTCCTACACAAGGCTCCAACAGAGCAGCCTAAAAGTCAAAATGGAATCACTTACCATGAAGTTCACCATGCTAACACCCAGCCGTTTATCTGGTCCAAGAAATCCAGATTATAGTCAGGCCAGTCCAGCCAGTTTCAGTTGGTATGATGCCATTCCCACTGCCACTTACCTTTCACAAAAGAAGTGGTATGCTGTTTTGTGAGACCAGGTACTACTCTCCAGCCCAGGCTGGCTCTGTTGCTGAATTATGAAATAGAAAATTAAGCCAGGGGCAAGGGGTGCAATTAAAGGGTAGAGCAATTGCATAAATAAGCAAGAGTCAACATCATCCTGTGGGGATGACTGGATAGGTTAGTCTTCCAAGGAGAAAGACCCTCAGGGAAGCCTAATGTTTGTCTGCTCAAAGGCGAAAACAGATCCTGTTCTTATTTTAATTATATTTTTGGTGTTGCGATCAAACCCAGAGTCTTGTTCACATTAAGCAAACACTCGGCCATCCTCAGCTCCTGTTCTTGCGTAGAAAATATTTGTGGGTCGGCAAGAGGATAAAGTTGCCTGCCCCCAGGCCTTCCATGAGTCTGAGGCCCAGGAACCTCAACTCCTACAAGAACCAACTCCTACAAGCTGTCCTCTGCCCACCACATACCACATGAACGCTGTGGCACGTGGACACCGGCTCTTTGTAAGTAATAAAATATGCAAATATAATAAAAATGTGAAAATAGATATTGCTTATAAGCTTTTGCATCAATTTTCTTTTTAAACATGCAGTGAGAATACGCACGATTTACCTATCGTGAGCTTTTGGGTGGCCCCTTAAGTTCGGCACCTACGGCACTGTCTCACCCTGATCTGCGACTGCTGGACCGGGGTTGAAGGTCAGGCTCTGTGCTCAGTGCCCAAGAAGAACCTCTTCGCGTATTTTCTCCCCTAAAATGGGAAGAAAGTGATAAGAAACAAGCTCTTGAGAGTTTAATATTTCTCCTGCTCTGACACGCACAACATTGGGGCCACAGCAACTCAACCCTCAGACTTTAGAAAGAGTCCGGAAAGGGTGACAGCGGAGACGTCCATGCTCTGAACCCCTGATTGGCGGGTACAAAAATCACTCCTATGAAAAGGCAAGGACGCGGAGCATGGCGTCATCAGAGAGCGACTAGCTGTACGTAAAGTAAGCTCCTTTCTAATTGGCTCACTTTTCCAAGAGTGACTTAAACAGCAGAGGGGATTCGCGTTTCTTCAAATCTAGACTTCCGGCCACTGGAGAGACGAGGAAGACGGGCGAGAAATGTGTTAAGTTTTTGAGGCTGGGACGTTCGGGGGCGGGACTTTGAAAGCTGGGGGCGTGGCTTTCTTTGGGGGCGTGACTATCTCGGAGAGCGCGGTGTAGCCTCAAAGTTGCGCTTGCTTTGAGCGAGCTTTAGGGCGGGGCTAAGTGATGGGCGGGTCGCAGGACCAGCGCTCGGCATTGAGGAGTCACTTGCGAGCTGTTCTGTCGGCTGGTTGCTGTCCTAAGCCATGGCTCTGCGCTCCTGGCGCCTGTGGCACTGGTTCGCGTTGCCAAGGGTCCGGCCCTCTCTCTTCAGGAGCACTTCGAGTAGGAGCTGGGCCCTTGGGGCTGCACCAGGGCGAGGGGAGGCTTGTGATCGAGAGGGGGGGTCCGATCAGAGCTGAGACAGGGCTGGAGTGGGACGAAGCTGAAGGTGTCTGCTTTTGCGGGAGAAAATGGGAGTGGTGTGAATGGAAGGGACTATGCGATGAGGTGGGAGGCATCCTGGGTCAGACACGGGTCAGTAAAGGCTAAAAGGATAGACCATGAGGTCCGCGTGTGTGATGCGAGGTGAATGGGAGGTGACAGGGAAATCCGAGGTGAGGATATGAGCAAGAGAGTTCTGTGGGGGAAAAGGGATAGAAAAAGGGGAAACGTGGTGTGGATATGAAGACGTGGGACCACACAGGGGATCACAATAAAAATGAAGTGCGGTGCAGGACAGCTTCGTAGGGGTAGAGTCTGGCCAGGCTATGCTTATCAGCATAGCGTGTTCGTGGGTGAGGTACGGGGTTCCGGATAAAGAATGCCTCTGGCATTCGGAGGAAATGTTGAAGCTTTGAGGAGTGGAAAGAGGAAGATGCAGGTGAGGGTGAAAGGCAAGCTGCAGTTGGACGGAATTGGTCTGGGGTGGTAAGAGAGCGTTTATTTGACCTCGCTGTCCCCTCCTCTGCCTAGCCCCGCGCTTCGGCCAGCAGTTCTCCACACAGGAGAAGACCCCTCAGATCTGTGTAGTTGGCAGTGGTCCAGCTGGCTTCTACACAGCCCAACACTTGCTAAAGGTAAGTCGCTCCTTCCAGGCTCCTTCCTCGCCATTCATTTCTTGCTACAGTTCTGGGTAGGCTCCAGCCCTTTGGTTTGCCTGATATGGAAGGGTCTCCCAGCTCATCTAAGTGGTGTCCTTTCTACCCGATTCCACACCTGCATCTGACGCTCCACCCTAGGTCCTCAGTTGTGAGAGAAATGCGTTGGTCCATGGCTGGTGGCCAGTGACAGATGGGCAGCTGTCCCTGCTTTACCAAGCAGGGGGGAAAAGTTTGTGATTTTGTTTTTTTTCAGTCTTAAGGGATGGCTTTAGCCTCCCCTTGTTTTCTTTTATATTTCTCCATTTCCAGCTCTCTACATTTCAGGGCCATCTTGTTCTTAGTTTCACTGCCCTGCCCACAGCCCTAGCTCTGTCCACAGCCCCAGCCCTCCCCACAGCCACAGCCCTCCTGATGCCCATTCATTCCTGTTAAAGGCCAAGGTCTCAAAGCTTTCAGTATTAGTTTTGTCAGACAGGGCCTCAAGGCTACCAGATGCACAGTTTATCAGATGTACAAGGCTATCTCAGGTCTTAAGGCAAAAGAGGAAGCGGAGCGGCTGGAGAGAAGGCCCCTTGGTGAGGGATGTTGGCTGTCTCACAGAGGACCAGAGTGTGGGAGTTGGGTTCCCAGCACCCACACGGTGGCTCATCACTCAGCTCTAGGGGATCCAACGTCTTCTTCTGGCCTCTGCTTGCACCTTTATTCATGCACAGGCACACACATACATAACTAAAAATAATAAAATAAGTATTTTTTTAAAACAGAGTAAGGGATACCAAGATTGACTGAGGGGAGACAGTGTTTGAACTTTAGAGGGCCTTATAATATCTACAAGACAGGAGAAAGGACGATTATACTGACAACACGGATAGATATTTGAAAGGTAGAGTGCCCCACTGGCCTGCTTTCCCTGGGGCTGACACTAGGAAGGTCTGTCTCATGGAGACCTCTGTGGAGAAGTGACCTGTGCATGACTCTGCAGCTACTTACAACAACGCACCCAGGTCAGCGCGATCAGAAGCTGGCTAGAAAATGTACGTTTGAGATGCACTGGAGGCCACGCGTGAGCTTTGGCCTGGATATGAAGTGTCAGCCTGGAATGCAAGGCCACTTATGAAGGACAGCCTGGGCTCTGGGCTGGAGACTCGGGGCGGCAAGGGTGGATTGGTGGGTGGTGTGGTTGGCATTGGGCTGGGTTTCTTGGAAGGGGTGCTGACTGTGTTAGCTGAGGGTGAGGGAATAGACCTTGGCATCTCCTCAGTGGGCCAGATCTTGAGCTGCAGACACGTGGGTGTTTTTTTGCTTATGGGCCTGACATTCTAGCTTGAGGTGGCTGCTTTTCAAAGTGTTTTAGAGCTCAAACTAGGCCTTGATCCAGTGTAGAAGGAAAGGTGTCCAAACTGCATTTTGTGGAGGATGTGAGACTACAATAGCAGGAATGCTTCAGACAGGACGAATTATGTGGGCAAAGGCTAGAGGAAGGAGAATGGGCCTTTGGCATCAGCCCAGAGCCTGTTCCAGAAAGTCATAGAGAGAAGGGTGAAGAGGTGAAAGCTAGGGCTAAGGAGGCAACTGAAGCCCAGGTCACAAGGTGCCTAGAAACCACCCTAGACTTGGGTGGCTTTCTTTGAGCATCCTCTCCAGTCCCTGCTGGAGAGGTCTTATTTAAATGAGTGTTTCTGGGCCCAGCTCAGATTTAATCAAACTCTGTGACTGGGAACCTCAGAATCAGTAATTTTAAGCAAACACCCTGGGGAATTCTGGTCCTCACCGATAAAGAACCTGGCGTAACTGAAGCATCCTAAGCACGGGGGTGAGTGGGGATGTCTCACTGGTCAAGAGCGCATACTGCTCTAGAACACGATCTTAGTTTGGTTCTCTGCACCCAAGGCAGGTGGCTCACAACCACCTGTAACTCCAGGGGCTCTCAACCTATCTTCTGGCCTCCTCAGATGCACTTCTGTGCATATGCTCCACAAACACATACCCATAATTAGAAACATATTGAAGAAAGAAAAAACAAGGAACCCGCCTTTGGGGACCCAACACAGGGCCCTGTGAATGACAGAAAGGCATTCTACCAGTTCGCTACAGCCTCAGCCCATTTTTCATGTGGAATGTTCTCTCTGATGGGTAGCCTGTAGCAGGGCTGTTAGCCCAGAGTGCAAGAGAGTGGAGGGAAAGGATATGGGAGTCACAAGACAAGGTGAAAGGGGAAGGTGAGTGCTGTGGCTGGAACTCCAGGGGCTAAGGTGGAGGGGGGTGTTACAGAAGTAGAGGGGAAAGGGTAGGGGACAAAGAATGGACTGAGATGAGCGGACTGAGGTCTGGATCTCAGATCTGAGTCAGATCCCGAGGTCTCAGGATGGGAAAGAGATAGGATGAGAGGAGGGGGAGGGAGGATAGAGAGGCCACATGAGATCTACAAGATTTGCAGCCACAGGAGTAGGTAAGACTTCCCAAGGACATGACTCTGTGTCCAGGAGGGACAGAGAACTCCAGGCCAGAATTGCTTCAGACACCATCCTTTATAGGAAAAAGCAACAACTGGCGGGAGGAGAGAGAGGAGGCTTCTTGGAAGATGGATCTGTGTGTGAGATTATTGCTACTGTAGAGGTAGGCTGGAAGAACCTTGTGCCCAGCAGGAAGTCTCCCTCTGAAGCGGATGGAGTGGAAGACGGAGACGGTGAGGTCAGGTTGTGTTAGGGATGGCCAGCAGGCTAAGCAGTTTGAACTTTGTCCTGCAGCAGTAAGAGCAGCCCGGGAGGTTTTGGAACAAGAAACGACTGTTGCTCCTGCAGCAGTCACAGTTGTACCGACCCTGGGTGAGTCACTGTGTCCTCACGCTGGGGAGCCCCAGGCTGAAGGCTTGGGCCTGACTCAGTCAGCCTTGAGTGTGTGGTGGGACATTCCATCCAAAGAACCTTTCCCTATGACACAGCAGTTAGGGGTGCTGCTGGGCCTGGCTCTGTGGCTACTGGACTTCATGGCATGAGCTCTTAATGGAGCTTCATGGGTTCAGTTTCCATGGAGTTCGAGAAGGTGATTTGGGAGGCTGCCTGTGGGCTGGCCAAGGATAAAAGAGGCAGATGGGCTGGAGGAGCTGGATTTGGGGCAGGTGGCAGAATAGAGGGAAGCAGGATTTGGACAAAGGCCAGGCGAGGTAGGCAGGGAAGCATCTGCCGTGAGTCCTGAGCTGGGTGGAATAGGTCAGGGCACAGGGTGGTGTTGCCCTGACTACTCTCCCCCGATTCTCTCACCATCCTACCTTTCCCGCGCTTCCCAGTTCACAGAGGAGACCGAGGCCCAGGCCTGTTCTGGGGCTTACCAGGCCCACGCTGTTGGTGGCAGCAATTCCAATCTCATATCCTCCCTACATCCTGCAAAGTGCTCTGGGAGGACAGGTGACATGGGGCAGCTGAAATAGCCAGACTTTTTCTAAAGCTGGGAAGGCCCGCTGCCACTCCCCCAGCCTCACTTGCCCCAGCCATGCTTCTACTCTCTGTCCCCACATGCCTCAGCTCTGCCCCCATTCTCTCTCCTCACATGCCCCATCTGTGTCTCTGCTCCCTGCCTTGGTGACCCCTGTCCCAGGGGCATCATCCTGAAGATATAGAGCTAAGGCAGGCTCTCAGATCGCACGGCCAGCATTTCTAGAAGATGAAGATTTCCATCTGACCTGAGGATGAAGTCCTGATACTTCCAGTTCCTCAGTTTCTCTGTTGGAAGACCTTGGGGTGTAACTGCTTATGCTCCTCCAGAGCCCTTACCTGGGTGGAAGGAGAGCTGGGACCTTCCTTCCGCTCCTGGATGGTTGGAACCAGTCTCCTTGGCCATTGGAGCCGAGTTTCCTTGCTGTCTGGGAAAGGGAAGGGAGGCCCTGGGGAGGGGGGGCCGCAGAGCTTCCCCCTTGAACCCACCGGCTGTTCTTCTGCCCCAGCACCACACCCAGGCCCACGTAGACATCTATGAGAAGCAGCTGGTGCCCTTTGGCCTGGTGCGCTTTGGCGTGGCACCTGACCACCCCGAAGTAAAGGTGAGTGTCTCTCGGTGTGTGAGGGTGGTGCTGGAGACAGTAAAGATGAGGGCAGAAAGGCTCCCTGACATAGTAGAGTGACCCTCGGCTCTCTGTGGTGGGACCCAGGCTCCATCCTGGGGATCATGGAGTGAGAGTGGTACTGGCGCGCTCCCAAGAGCTGCCCCAGCTTCTAATGTTCCTCTCCCCACCCTGCCTGGCAGAACGTCATCAACACGTTTACACAGACAGCCCGCTCGGACCGCTGTGCCTTCTGGGGCAATGTGGTGGTGGGCAGGGATGTGTCGGTTCCAGAGCTTCAGGAAGCCTACCACGCCGTGGTACTGGTGAGTTGCCCACATGGAGGGGTGTGGATGTGAGAGGAGGGGCTGCAGTATGGGCGGAGAGGGCTGCTGGGAGGCAGAAGGCTGGTGCTGAGCCCTTGGGCCTGGGTGGGGGCTGCACTTTTCCTCAGAGTTATGGAGCAGAGGACCATCAAACCCTGGAAATTCCCGGCGAGGAGCTGCCTGGGGTGGTCTCAGCCCGGGCCTTTGTGGGCTGGTACAATGGGCTCCCCGAGAACCGGGAGGTGAGTTTGAGGGGCAGCTTTGTTGCTTTGGGCTGGAGTCAGGACATCCTTGAGGTGTTAGAGTTTGAGGTCAAGGCAGGGAGGACCAAGCTGAGGAGATGTGAGGCATCAGTGACTGAGGCAGGTCAGCTGTGGAGACCTTCTGTGGGGCTGAGGGAGAGGGCGGTGGGGTAGAGTGAACCACCTAGGGCAGCCTGAGGGCCCAGCAGACATGGCCCAAGGTGTGTGCAAATGAGATTAGCCTGAGTGGAACTGGAGACAGGGACACCCTCTCAAGACCTTCCTCCTCCAGCTGGCGCCGGATCTGAGCTGTGACACCGCTGTGATTCTGGGGCAGGGGAATGTGGCTCTGGATGTGGCCCGGATCCTGCTGACGCCACCTGAGCACCTGGAGGTGAGGGGTCAGTCAGAGGCTGAGGGGTGGAGGAGGGAGCACGCTGAGGAAAGCCTGCCCTGCCGGTGCCGTCAGGTCTCACCCCTCCAAACAGCCCCGCCATGTTTGCTGCAGGGGTCTGGGCAGATATCTTCACACTTCCGTGAGCAACTGCATTCGCACACACGTCCTCCCTGTTTGGACCGTCTGGACTGACCTCCTGCTAGTTAAGAATTAGCATTCCTCCCTCTTTTTGTTCTTGGCTCAACTAGTCCTTCTGCCAAGAGGTCTTCCAGGCTGTCCTGTGTGGGTGTTTCTTCGGTGATATGATCTCAGCTACTAGTCACCTTTACTTCATGGCCTTGCTTCAATACTGCATGTATGGTCTGTGATAAGATTCTATGAGTATCTGTCTCCCCATAAAATAAGGGCTCTGTGAGGCTCCAAATTAGCCTGTTTGGCTCAAATAGACTGCCGTCGCCCACTTAATGCGCTTGTCCTGTCATGGACATGTGATAGACTGTCAGTAAATGCTTGCTGGGTGAAGAGTCGGTACCTAGGAGCCATTTACAGTGCTGGCGTCAACACTCTGTGTGGCCACCAGGGGGAGCAGCGGTATAGTTTTTGGGGCGTTGGCTTTATCTGGATCAGAGTGGAAGCTGGACCCCTTTCCCAAGTCAAGCACCCCCTTATTCATTCATTCATTATTTTAGTTTTCGAGGCAGGGTTTCTCTGTGTAGCCTTGGCTTGCTTTGTAGTCTAGTCTGGCCTTGAACTTGCAGAGATCAGCCTGCCTCTGCCTCTCTGAGTGCTGGGATTACAGGTGTGCGCCACTGCACCCCACTTCCTTCCCCTTTTTTGAGTCAGGGTCTTATTATGTAGCCTTAGGTGGCCTGGAACTCACTATGTGGATCAGGCTGGCCTCAAACTCACAGAGATACGCCTGCCTCTGTCTCGTGTTCTACCGCCTAGCCCCAAGAGCCTCCCTCCTTTTGTGCCAGAAAACAGACATTACAGAGGTGGCTCTGAGGGCCCTGAGGCAGAGTCGGGTGAAGACTGTGTGGATAGTGGGCCGGCGTGGACCCCTGCAAGTGGCCTTCACCATTAAGGTACTGGATCTGGAGGGGGAGGAGCCAGTGTCCCACGTAGAGGGACCCTGTGTGTGTTGGGTTGCTGCAGAGCCCTTAGGCATAGCTGCTTCTCCGGGTGGAACAGGGCAGTGGGCAGGGCCCCAAGGCTAGGGGGTCTTTCTCCACACTGCTGATGGTTTCTCCCACCAGGGGTGAGCTCTGGTGGGTTCAGGAGTACTCAGTTCTGGACCAGACCTCCTCCCTTACTCCCATCCCCACCCTCAAGGAGCTTCGAGAGATGATTCAGTTGCCAGGAACCAGGCCCATTTTGGATCCTTCAAATTTCTCAGGCCTCCAGGACAGAATTAAGGGTGAGGGGCCAAGTCCAGCCTCCATCCCAGCTCACAGGAAGTGGGTGTCCTAGGTTAAGTGAGGCTTGGGGGAGGGGGACCAGCAGGAACAGGCCTGAAATGTTCCATGTTGCTGACAGATGTCGCCCGTCCAAGGAGGCGGCTGACAGAACTGCTGCTTCGGACAGCCACGGAGAAGCCAGGAGCGGAAGAGGCTGCCCGACAGGCAATGGCCTCCCGGGCGTGGGGCCTCCGCTTTTTCCGAAGCCCCCAGCAGGTGCTCCCCACATCAGATGGGCGACGGGTGGCAGGCATCCGCCTGGCAGTTAACAGGCTAGAGGTAAGTTCATATTACCCAACTTCCCCTTTTTAGGCCTCCTCCTTGCCAACCGGCTGTTCTTCCCAACAGGGTGTCGGCGAGTCCACTCGGGCAGTGCCCACGGGAGATGTCGAGGACCTCCCTTGTGGGCTGGTGCTGAGCAGCGTTGGATATAAGAGCCGCCCCATCGACCCCAGCGTACCCTTTGATCCCAAGCTCGGAGTCATTCCCAACATAGAGGGCCGGGTTATGAAGGTACCAGGTGAGCGGGTCTGAGGAGGCCGTGTCCCCGGACCACTTATTCTACAGTGATGTCATCTGAGACACAGCTCAGGAGATAAGCCCAGTTCTGGAACATAGCCCTCCCTCCTCCTGCGGCCTAGGGCAAGTTCGCAGGCAAGCTGGGACATCATTCAATAGAAGTTCACTGAGGCCTGTCCTGGGATCTTGGCGGGAGATAGCCCTGCCTGCTCACCTTGTGCCCTCCATGTTCATTCATTCGGTAAATATTACCAAGGGCCTGCTGAACTGTGGTGCGCCAAGTCTCAGCTCATGTCCCCGGGGAGCAGCTCATCCACAAGGAAGCTGAGGAAGGGAGGATGGCATGGTAGAGGTAGAGGCAGGCAGATCTGAGTTCAAGGCCAGCCTGGTCTACAGAGTGAGTTCCAGGACAGCCAGGGCTACGCAGCAATCCTGTCTCAAAAAACCAAAACAACAACAAAAACCACACACACACACACACACACACACACACACACACACACACACA